CATTCAACGATAAAACCATGTTTGAATCAATGCAACTTTCACAATGTTTTTCACTTATAGCTTTTCTGGTAGTTGCTAATCGAAGAAGTAAAGGACTTTGTGCATCAAATAAATCTTTAGATAATTGGTTTGCTAATATTGCTTTTTATTATTGAAAAAATAATCAAAATATGGAGAAAACTTATGAAGTCGTGTCCATAGTGCTTTTGGGTGTATATTCCAATTATTGTTTTCAATCAAAGTTTTCCATAAATAACTTGATGGCACTATTAATTTATTATTTATAATAATTTTATCTTTATAATCTTTCAAAACAGAAGAAATTTCATCATTTGAAACTATGGGTTTCCTACCTCGTTTCATTTTGTATAATACATATATAATGAATAATAATATAATATGCATTTCTCTTACTAACTGTTTCTAAATTATTCGAGAAATGCGTATAAACAAGATTGATGTCTCTTCTAGTATACCGTATATTTTTTTCACCAAACAATTTGGTTTTTGCTGTAACGTGTCTACTATAGATCCCTCAATTAAATCTTCTCATATTATTCATAGCAATTTAGATAAAAAAATAAAATTGTTTAGCATTTTTCTTGACTTTAAAAAAGCTTTGACTCCATTGACTCCATAAGAGGAGCATGGCTCTTTATTTAATCAAAATGTTTATTTCTGAAAGACTTCAGCACACTAGACTAAATGGTCATTTTAGTAATATCAATACAAATTGTTTTTCAGTTCCTAAGTACAGTACTTGGCCCATTACTATTTATTATTTATATAAATGGAATAATTCATATTTCGCATTATATTCCTTTATGGAAAAGTAAGTAACTAGCTTGTATTCAGCTCCTATTATTCTAGTAGGCCCTAAATTTTCAAAGTACAATCCATTTTGTTGTTCGTATTTTGTATATGTATAATAATCCGATGAATTTATTTCATTGGCACCAATAAGTCCACCCATCATCACCAATCTAAAATTAAAAATTATATCTATATTAACCTGCTGTGAGTGTGGAGGTCTATATGGTCTACTATCATATAATATTTTATTCAATTCTTTTTCGTTTACATTTTTTGTTTCCTCAGATATGTTGAACATGCTAACTATTGCTCTTCCGTGATTAACAGTAGATACTGTATTATTACAAAACACGTTCTCCGTAATTTCTTGTTTATGAATGTATATGTTTTTACCTTCGACTACTGGGTCTAGCACTTTTATTTGTACTACTGTTTCAGATCGTGGGTGTAATGAAAGATTTATAGAACTGGTTTCTACGTGAGTAGGGGCGTGTAAAAACGTTTCGGCGTTTTTAATTATTATCTTGTTATTCGAAATGTCTACTATCGCTTTGTTTTTTAATAGAAACTCGTGACCTAATATGCCATCTCTTGGTATAGGGAATTGTGTTCCTACTATGTTAAATTCTGTATCTATAATATTATTATTTAATTCTATGGGTATTTTTATTTTTCCTATTGTTTGAATGGGTTCCTTATGTATACCACGTAATTTAATTTTCTGTGTTTCATTTACTTTTAGTTCTCCGCGTAAACAATTTATTTTGAGTATATTAACTTGGCTACCCGTATCTATTAGTAAGCTTAATTCATTTGTTTTACTAGCGGCTGATTTACATGTTATATGGTTATTATTTATTACTGCGTCGATGTGGAAACATCGTGCATCTCCTCTGCGATTATCTGGTTTATCGAACGGGTACCGCGTTCCTCGTTCGATACGTTCGCGTTTCCCGAATTACCATTTCTACTTTCATCGTTACGTTTTTTATAGCAATTATGTATATTATGACCTATCTTATTACAGTATGAGCACATTATTGCTTGCGAAGAATTATAATTTGTGGGTGGCCTAGTAAAATTATTTCCATTAGGTGGATGGTTGTTATTACGATTATTTGGATTATTTTGTCTTACGTTATTTCTACATTGCGAAGCATAATGATTACCATTACAATGATAGCATTTTATAACCGGTCTATTAATGTTATTTGGTTGCGAATAATTATTTGGTCGCGGACCATTTGTCCTTGTAAAATTATTAGAGTTGTTACTATTATAGTTCCTTGTGTTACCGGTTCGCATATTATTCGTTCGCTGATAATTAATATTATTATTGCGTGGGGAATTATTATAGTTTCTTTCATTGTCATTTCTATACTTATAATTTTCCCTCTCGGAATTATATTCAGCTTCCTCGGCTTTGGCTAACTGTTTTGCTATTTCAAGAGTTTTTGGACATTGTGATTTTACTATCGTTCTAATCGGATTTATTAAGCCCTTAATAAAAATTGCTAATGTTTGTTCTTTTAACGTTTCGTGTATTATTCTCGCTTCCGAATCTATTTTATTAAGTGTACTTGCAGTACATAGTTTATAATATAATTTTTCTACTCTATGACAGTACTCATTTACATCTTCACCATTGCGCATTTTAATCGAATTTAGTTGTATTTGTAAGCTAGATGCAGTTGTTAGATCCTCAAACGCGTCTGTTAAATAACTTTTAATAAATGTCCACTTGGTCACATTTTTATATCGTATCATTTCTAACGCTCTACCAGTTAATCTGGTAGTAATATATTTCACTAACGTTGGTGCACATTTTTCTTCGACTAGACTCACTGCCATGTCACATGCATTAATAAATGGATATATGTCATCCTCGCCTGTGCATAAAGGTATTAATTTAAATGCGTCCTCTAATTTTATAGTAACCATTTTTTTATTTCGTAACTTTTTATCAAATAATAACTCTGTGTGTTCAAAACTATCAGTAACTTTACTGCGTGTAGTTCTACCTGACTTATTATCTAAGCTACTACTTCTAGTTAAAATAGGTTTCTCTTTTTTAGTTTTTACTTTATTTTTATCTGGACTGTCGAAATTTATTAACCTATGTGTAACGTTTAATATTTCTTTTTCAAGATTAGATTTATCTTTTTCTGTGTTATACGATGGATTATCTAATTCCAAAGGAGATGTATCTTTTCCTTTATTGTCCATAAAATGCCTTTAATATTCATTCAATACACCCTTCATTACTTCAATTAATAATTCTCAATATATATATACCCTTTAATAATATTCAATAATAATTCTCATAATAATCTCAATATACTTCAATAATAATTCTCAATAATAAACCTCATAATAATAATCTCATAATAACAATAACTCTCAATAGTTAAATCTCAATAATAATCACAATAATATTCTTCAATAATAATAACCTCAATAGGCTTCAATAATAAACTCAATAGTTTCAATAATAATCTCAATGACTTCAATAATAATCTCAATAGTTTCAATAATAATCCTCAATATAATAACTTCAATAATAATCTTCAATAACTTCAATAATAATCCTCAATATAATAACTTCAATAATAATCTTCAATAACTTCAATAATAATCCTCAATATAATAACTTCAATAATAATCTTCAATAACTTCAATAATAATCCTCAATATAATAACTTCAATAATAATCTTCAATAACTTCAATAATAATCCTCAATATAATAACTTCAATAATAATCTTCAATAACTTCAATAATTATATAATAATAATCTCAATAATAATCTTCAATATAATAACTTCAATGGGTTTTAATAATTGACTGAATGGGCTTTTATATATGTTCTACTCTAACACCTACACTACTATTATACTTGATTACCTTAAATAAATTCCATACGCCTCTATTGTACATACGTCTATGTAACAATATTTAATAAAATATTCACTTACAATAAAGCGGTATTTGCTGATGATGCCATGATCCTTTTGAAATCGCTGCACTTGTTTTGCTTGGAACCTTCCTTCGGAGTTGCTGATGAAGAAGAGTGATCAATTCCTCTTGTCAACGATGGACCTTTGATGGTTTTGCCTCCTTGAAAATCCTAAACCGACTGCGCCAGAAATGTTGTGTGCGTAATCTCAAAGGCTCCAAAAGCCGTAAGCTTTAGAGACAAATCAACAAGTACCAAATTGAACTATAGAATTATGTTTATTCAGCAGAAAATATAGTAATAGTACAATAGCGTGTGCGCGTGTGACGAGAAGTTGCTCAGGTCTCCGTGGCTATGATACATCTGCCCAGGCTGTCCCACGGGCTCCCTTATAAGTGGTGGCGGCTCCTTTGATGTAGCGGCACGTGCAGTTTGTATGTGTTCGTGTTTTCGGTTGTTGTTGCCAATTCTTAGATTAGCGATTAGCGATTCTTAGAATTGCGAATCGTGTCCACGATTTCTAGTCATGTACCTGTCCAGTGTTTTATTACATGGATAGGTGCAGATAGTACATATTCATCATTATAATATTTAATTAATATTTAATCATTATAATATTTTAATTACATATACGGAGTTCAAGACCGTAATAACATTAAGGTCAATATATTCTATATTAATTATAGCGAATAGGGTGCCTAGAGCGTCAAGGCCCGCAACAGTATTAAATATAAATCGTATAAATAAAATGTTGCTCCTCATATTTTTCTTTTCCTCGCCGCGACATCACCTATCACTTATCAGCTATTCTATTTATGTTGCGAAGTGGGAATTTCCAACAAAACAAGCGCAGCCGAACTCTACTCGGCGAACAGACTCAACAGAGTATAATAATGAATTATTATTATTATATATATTTTATATTATTTTCATAAGAAATAGCAAAATATTAGATAAAAATACACGGCCATTTGGAATATTGATGTAAATGCAATGTGTTCAGTCGTTCTGTGTTCACCAATTACAGAATACAGATTACGCTATACGGGCTATTATTGTACAAAAGTGACCAAATATCATTCCATTTTATTTATATAATAATATACTGAGCAAACTTGTATTTGTTAGTATGTGTTTTTTCGATCGTTGCACATGTCCTCGTCATTTTGGTTTACAATTATTACTTATTTTTTGGTAAAGTGTTTTTGTTTTTTTTTTACAAACTAATAAGTATGAGTTCCTTTATTAAATGTGACTGTGGAAAATTAAGTAATTCAATGAATATTCATAATTGGAATAAACACATTAATTCGTGTAAAATACGAAAATCGAAGAGAACCACTTCTGATATTAAATCATTTTTTATTGGAGTCGAAAAAAATTAAATTAAATTGGAACAACAAATTAAAAAAGAAGAACATGGTAAGTAATTTATTTATAAATACATTATATACATTATTTTTAAGTCATAAAAGAGGTAACGTTTGGTTTAAATGGAATAGGTACAATATCAGTCATATATTACTTTAATAATTATGTACCAAAAATATCGAACATCGTTTCGCCAAGTTTAGTTTATAATCATTCCCAGTTTTTTGACAGAGGATATTTTAGTTGGAAATACCAATCAATTAGAGTGCATAATTTATTTGGTAATAGTGTTATAGTATTTAATGCATACCTATATATTCTGATATTTAATATTGTATTTTTTACAAAACTCTTTAAATTTTTAATTTTAATCAAATATAACGTATTTTATTACTTAACTAACGAAATACAATTTTAAAAAATTGGTTTTTACAATTTTTGCACATAGACAGAAATTGTAGATTTTGATAATTTTATGTTTTAAAACTGGTAAATAGTTATGTAAAGGTATTTCAATGATTTATTAATATTTTAAAATTAAAATTTATATGTTACAGGATAAGGGTATAATATATTTCATTAAAAACTATTTAATATTATAATTTATATAGATTATAGACATAATATTTATTTTTATATAAATGCATTAATACATTTTATATTTTTATCTGAATACCATTCAGAAACATGTAAATAATATTTTGTTCTACTAATTTCATATTTGAATTAATCTCTTTAAAATATTAAATACATACAATAACTATACCTAAAGACAAAATACCTAATGTTATAGCGTTAACAGTCAGAAGTGCTAAAGTATATTTTAGGGGATAAAATAAATTGAAATATAGTAGATGATATTGTTTTAGGTGTAAATGGTGATGATTGGCCCAGTTTTGAAAATTCTAATGCAGAAAATAGTATACCGGCAAATTATGATGGCAAGGAAAAAGAGTCTGTAGATATTAACTCAGAAAAGAATAAATCTCCAGAAGATGCAGTTGAATCAGTGGCATCTTTGCCATATGGTAATATAAAATATTAAATACTGAAGTCAGAAATTAATTCAATTATTTTTTAGCTATTCAATTTCCAAATGATCCAGCTTTCATATCCAATATTACAATGTCTCCAGAATTATTTGCTCAAGTAGCTTTGCAACCACCTTGTCAACCAGCACCGTTCGATCTAAAAAATCATAAGTTTCCAACAAAAAAACAAGGTAAATACACTCGTTCATTTCATGAAGGGCATTATTTAAAAAAAATTGCATCTGGCCAATTTGTTAAAAGAAATTGGGTGTCATATTCACCTACAGCTGATAGAGTATACTGTATAGTATGCAAATTATTTGGAACCACAGAATGCAAAAGCTACAAATTAGCTAAATCTGGTTATGATAATTGGAAGCATTTGGCATATGTATTTAAAAAGCACGAAGCTACTCCTGACCATTTACAAGCTGAAATAAGACGGGCAATGTACATAAACAATCAAAGAGTTGATCTTCAATCATTTCAAGGATTAAATTCTAAAGTTGCTGAAAACCGAGAGATTGTGAAAGAAATTATTAAAACATTGTTATTCTTGTCAGGACAAAATATGGCATTCAGAGGACATAATGAAAGTAAATCATCAAAAAATCAAGGCAATTTCTTAGAATTAATTAAATTACTATCAACAAATAATCCTTTATTATCATCTCATTTATTGAAGATTGGAAATGTAAAGGGGAAGAATCGGTTGACGTTTTAATCAAATGTTAGTCAAAATAAAATACTTAAGGTCTTAGGTGAAATGGTTCGCGGTCAAATCCTACAAAAAATCAAAACATCTGGGTATATTCATTCATAATAGATACAACTACTGATGTTGCAAACCTTGAACAATTTTCTTTATTTGTGCGGTTTTTGAATGAAGATAGAGATGTTGAAGAAAGATTGGTAGCTATGAAGGTAGTTTCTGATGTATCAGGACTTGGGATGTTTAATTTGTTATGTGATATTTGTCAACATTTTGAAATAGATTGGGTAAATAATTTATGTGCACAGTCTTATGATGGCGCAGCTAGTATGCAAGGTTGCTATTCTAGTGTAAAGACATTGGTCCAAGAAAAAAATCCAAGAGCCATTTATGTTTGGTGCTTTGCTCACGTACTTAATCTTGTTGTAGTTGATAGATGCGATAAAAATATTGTGACTAGAATTTTTTTTGCTAATTTACAATCACTGGTATCTTTTATGAGAGCTCGAAAACGTACAGCATTATTTATAGAAGCTCAGAAAAAATATTACCCCAATGAAAGAATTTGTAAAATTAAAAACTTTTCAAATACTCGTTGGACATCCCATCACCAAGTATTACGTGTTATTTGTACTAAATATAAAGCTGTTATGAAGACATTAAAAGATTTGTCACTTTCACATGATCGAGAAACTTCTTCCACTGCTAAAAATTTACAAACAGTTATGTCTTCTTTTATGTTTGTAACTAATTTACTATTAATGAAAAATATATTTGAGTATACAACTCCATTATCTATTTACTTACAGTCGTCAAGTATAGATTTTATTCAAGCTCTAACAATAGTAGACAACTGTGCCAAAAGCCTGTCTGATATGAGAGAAGATCATCTAGCAGATAGATTATTAGATGACGCAAGACAATTTGCTGAAGATAATGGATTAAAACAGAGATGTTTTCCAAATAAACGAAAGATAATAAAAAAGGTGATGGATGGTGAAAATAAAGGAAATGAGACAATATTCTTGAGTCCAAATAAAAGATATAAAGTTGAAGTATATAACACAGTTTTGGATCAAATTGTATCATCAATAACATCCAGATTTGAAGGGGCTAGAAAAATTTTAGCAGATCTATCATTTTTTTCATATGAACGACTAATATCAATAAATGAAGGATGTTCTATACCTGAAGATTGTTTTATTTATCTTAAGACTTGGATACAAACTATACAAATTGATGAATTAAAAATGGAATACATTACATTTGCTAAATGTTTTATGGAACTCAAAAACGGTATTAACATTAAAAAGTTACATAAAGAATCAGGTTCAGACAATGAAAACGATGACGATGAACTTAATGATTCTAGCAGTGATACTGAAACTGAAAGTAACACAGATACACAACAAATTACTGCTTTAGATATTATTAAATTATTAAATTCGTATAATTTAATATCTGCACTTCCAAATTTATATACAGCATATAAATATGCATGCACAATACCAGCAACATCAGCTTCGTGTGAACGGTCTTTTTCTAAATTAAAGTTAATTATAACTAGATTAAGATCTACAATGAAACAAAATTTACTGGAACCTATAATGTTACTATCATGTGAAAGAAATATTGATATAAACGAGGATGAAGCTGTTAACAACTATGCAAATAGTTCACAAATATTAAAAGAGGCATTGTTATTTAAATAAAAACAAATGGATTGTATAATATATTATTTTGAGGTATAAAATAAGAAAATGTACTATTATAACTTAACTATATTATAAATTATTTATTTTATATTAAGTACATATGACATATTGGAATAAAAATAAATAAAAATGTATGATGAAATTGCAAGTCATTAAGTCCTAAATCTGCTACCTACTTAAAATATAAGTTTATTTAAATCGAAGGGTAAATAATATATTAATTTACCTTTATGACATTTGTCATTCAACTGCAGTATACTATTCCAGAATTCTTATTTACTATTATTATTGTTATTATTATTATTATTATTATTGTTATAATTATTTAGAATTGGTTAATAATAAAAATAAAAATAATAACTTTTTTAGAGGTTTACCAAAAAAATGTATTCGCCCCTACTTTAAAATCTTGTCGCCACGCCACAGCGAGAGATCCCGTATTAGATATTATTTTAAAACTTAATAAGAAGGTATTAATAGAATAATTTAATTACCAATAGCTAATAATATTGATACTCTAATAATATTGTACTGTACTATCTGTACTACGGTCGAAATTTATACCATTCAAGTTATTCAACTATTGTGTTCGGTGTTCAGACTTAAGTTTGCTCAGATTAGTTTAGTCGTTTACCTAATTATTGTCAAATGTTAAAATGTTAAATATTTATATTTTATACTAATATACCTACTTATAGTTTTAAGTTTTATTTATATTAGTTTATTATTTATTTAATTTTGGGGATAAACTACATATTGAGGTATTAAGAATAATTATGGGTAGAACAATTTCTAACCCAGAACAAAAAATGTACTTCAAATTTAATATTAGTACAAATGAATGTGTCTGCCAAATTCCCAATGTAATAACCCTATTCGGACAGGAAGTCACTCTGGTAACTTAAAAAATCATGTGAAAGTTTTTCACAAAGATGAATATCTTTTACTTTTAAAAGAAAAAGAGAGATTAACAGGATCAAAATTAAAAAGATATGGTTGCTTCAATTCCACAGTTTCAAAAGTAAGTACATTATAACATTTAAATATTTCATACATTTTATCTAGGTAAGTATAGGTACTAAACTACTGTTTATGTAACTACCTAATATTATGTTCTTTTTTTAAATTGAAATAATTGACCCTTTAATTTTAGTTTATATTTTATTTAGATACATAAGTACCTATCTTTATTAATCTACCTTTTACCTAATACAATATACAAATTATATACCTAATATTATAATACAAATAAAATATGAATACAATATTATACTATTTCAACTTTATAATTTTAAACATTTTAATCACACAAGTTTTAAATGAAATGAAACTACTGTTAAAAAGCTAATATTTGAAAGCATTTTCATATACTTAGGTACTTATATAGTTATATCTAATGTATGTTCTTACTTTTTTAATGAAATAATAATAGCATAAAAGATAATATGTAGGACATGTAGGTAGCTTTAAGTCAAAACTACAAATATTTTTTTTGAGCAGTGTCTAAAATATGTATGTGGAGTTGAGTTGTCTACCAGAGAGCGGGTCGGTTCCTGATACAGCTAAGGTGGTGGGTGGAAGCTAAGCGTCAGTGTTGTTTTGACGTGCGAGTGTTCCGTTTGTCGTTAGTTGATTATATTATGTATTTTTGTATTTTGTCATTTGTACATCAATAAAAAGGTAATCCGTTACTAGTGTGCTGTTGATTATTTAAGTGTACATTTTTGGTGCCCAATCCCACATTTTTGGGGGCCTGTCCGGGATACGCTCCGATTTTTATACTTTAATAATCGCATGGTTGTGTTTTTGTACGTGATTCGAGTTTGAACCTAACCTCACATTTTTATCAAGTTTGGTTACGCAGATTATACCGCGGGTATATTGTTGATATCATAGTGTGATAATTGATAATAGTGTTTACTAAAATGTTGTGATAATGCCGCGACCGCGAAAGAATGTGCGAGCGAGTCAAAGGCTTGAAGAAAGTGTTGGCGATCGTGTTGATGATCGTTTTCCGAATGGGCGTAGTGTTAGCGTTACATTCGCAGATGTACAGGACTCATTACGTCCATTCACCGGGGACGATAGTGGAAGTATTGTGAAATGGGTAGAGGATTTTGAAGATTTGGCAGATTTGTGTTCTTGGTCCGAACTACATAAGTTTTTATATGGCAAGCGACTGCTTCAGGGCACGGCCCTTGATTTTGTGCGAGGCGAAAGTGGTTTACGATCGTGGTCCGAGTTACGCGACAGGTTGCTAAATGAATTCCGTTGTCGGCTCAGTACGGCCGATGTTCATCGACAGTTAACGTCTCGTCGGAAATGTGCCGGTGAAACACTGTTACAATACTTATATAAAATGCGGGAAATAGCAGCGCACGGCGATATTGAAGACGAATCGGTCATCGACTAAGTGATTTGTGGTGTCCCCGACACTTCGGCGGACAAAAATGTATTATATGGAGAGGCAACGTTGGGTGAGTTCAAGAAAAAAATTGAATTATACGAGCGGATTAGGAGCCGATCTCAAGCGGGAAATGTACCTCGGGTGACTGCTGATGGTAAACCAAAGCCGACAATCGCGGCAGGAGGCTCATCGGGGGAGGGAGTAACTAGGTGTTTCAATTGTGGTGATCGTGGACACCAGTCTCGAGAGTGTCCTGATGTTAACAAGGGACCAAAATGTTTCTCATGTCGCGCTTTTGGACATAAATCGTTCGAGTGTCCAAGTAAGAGTGACGCAGTGCCGAACGTGTATCAGGTCGACTATGGCAGTAACAACGATCGTATAGTGAAACCAGTGGTGATTTCTGGCTGCAAAGTATTGGCTCTGATTGATACGGGATGTGATATTAACATTTGTCGGCACTCGATTGGGTTGAAATTAGTGAATGCCACCAGCAAGAGGTGTGAACTACGACTAAGAGGACCAGCAGGCGCAAACTTTTTTACAGAACAGATATTGGACGCGGAGCTGCACATTGATGGTCGAACATACCCCATCACCGTGTATACCGTGAGTGACGACAGTATAGGACATGATGTGATCATAGGTCGACCGTTGTTCCAGACCAGTGCCGAGCTAAGGGTGGGACCGAAAGCTCTGGAGGTTGTTGATGCTCGTGAGGTGCGACAGATGATGGCCATTGATGTTGGAGTGCCGGAACTGGACGTAGGCGAAAGAGAGTTCTTGCCAATGATTAAAAAAATAGTCAGTAACTATGTGCCTGAAAGTCGGGTAACGGTACCTATGAAGACAGTTATTATTTTAAGCGACGAAGTTCCTGTGTATCAGAGGCCCAGGCGGTTAGCGCCGCGTGAAAAAGTTGCTGTGGATCGACAGGTGGAAGAGTGGCTGAGTGAAGGTATTATTCGACACAGCTGTTCTGATTATGCCAGCCCAGTGGTCCTGGTAGCCAAAAAAGATGGGACATTACGATTGTGCATCGATTATCGGGCTCTTAATAAAAAAATCGTACGTGACCGTTATCCACTGCCGCTCATCGACGAGCAGGTTGATCAGTTGCGCGATGCGGTTATATTTTCGACGTTAGATTTACGTAATGGATTTTTTCACGTACCGATGGACGAGAACAGTATAAAATACACATCGTTTGTGACGCCCAGTGGACAATATGAGTTTCTGCGAACGCCGTTTGGACTGTGCATATCACCGCCAGTTTTCCAACGGTATGTAAACTTTGTATTCCGCGACATGATCAAAGCCGGTTACCTGTTAGCATATATGGATGACCTTGTTGTGGTGGCGGCTAACGTAGATGAAGGCATTGCACGCCTGGAAGCTGTGATGGGGATCGCCGCTGAATATGGTCTTGACATTAAGTGGTCGAAGTGTCAATTTCTTAAGCGCGCTATTGATTACCTCGGTTACCGTATTCAGTATAACGCTGTCAGTCCCTCCGAGGTTAACATTTTAGCTGTGCGTCACTTCCCTATACCTAAGACTGTCAAAGCGGTGCAAAGCTTCTTAGGGCTCACCGGTTATTTCAGACGGTTCATACCCGGTTACGCCCATGTGGCACGACCGCTGAGTGATCTGTTGAAACAAGATGTGGTATTCCAAATTGGTGTTGAACAGGAAGCAGCCTTTGTAGAGCTGAAACGCCGTCTTACAGAAGCCCCTGTGTTGCGAATCTACAGTCCTGAAGCTGAGGCAACTGAGTTACACACCGATGCGAGTCAATGGGGATTTGGGGCGGTGCTACTGCAGAAGGATAGCAATGATGGTAAGTTGCATCCAGTGTGCTACATGAGTAGAAAAACCACTAAGGCACAGCGTAACTACCATAGTTATGAACTAGAGGTACTGGCGATCGTGGAAGCGTTGAAAAAGTTTAGAGTGTACTTATTGGGTCTACATTTCAAAATCGTAACAGATTGCGCTGCGTTTACGAAAACCTTAGAAAAAAAAGATTTAGCAACCAGAGTGGCCAGGTGGGCATTACTGGTCTCAGAGTACGATTATACCATAGAACATAGGTCCGGTTCAAAGATGCCCCATGTGGATTCTTTGAGTCGTTACCCAGTGTGCATGACCATCCAGAGAAGTGAGTTCCTGTTACGGTTGGTAGCCGCACAACAAGGTGACCCTGACATTCGGACTATCATGAATGCACCAGTGGCTGGGAAACATGTAATTAAAGGTGGCATACTACACGAAGTATGTGATGGTAATGACTTGCCAGTAATTCCCAAGAACATGCAGACTGAGGTGATTAGGAATGCCCATAACATCGGCCATTTTGGAGTCACAAAAACCGAATTGTTAGTACGGCGTGAATATTCGATTGATGGGTTAAAGGAGAAAATTGAGTCGGTAATTAAAAACTGCGTTCCATGTATCTTAATGAATAGAAAGCAAGGCAGGCAGGAAGGTTTTCTCTACCCTATTGATAAGGGAGACGCACCGCTGATGACCTGGCACATTGACTTTTTGGGACCAATGGAAGCGACATCAAAAGGATATAAGCATATAT